ATATTGACTTCTGAAGTTATGAACTATAGGAACGAATAATTTCGAAATAATCTAGGTTTATTCTATTTATTGCTGTACAATAATCAAAATTTAATAATTAAATTTTTGTTCAAAATGATAGCCTCCAGCTTGGAGACAAGCATTGCACCTATCAATGACAGAATGAGTGGCTGATTGACATTGTACATCTGTCATTTCTTCGCACGGTTGCACTATTCTCCGTTTTAGTAATTGAAGGTCATTAATAGGCACTTCATAAACTTGTCAATGACCTTCGATCTTCAAAACAAAAATAAAAAGAAACATTTCGAAATTATTCGTTCCTATAGTTCATAACTTCAGAAGTCAATATCTCTTGAACGAAGCGTTTGCGAGCATACTTCCAGAGGAAAATTTTTTCTCGTTTTAAGATCCTAAATTCATATTTCAAGTTTGGCCATTTAACCCGGGAACACCCTGTATACAGGATGTTCGGTAATTGGAGAGCAGAAAGAGCAATTTCTCATTATGAAATCGGCTCATTATATGATTATATATATATGAGTAATTTTTTTATAATTTAATTTGTTTCATATACAGGGTGTCCCAAAGCACTCTTGACAACGCTCGTGAGCAGATAGAGCACAGTAAACTGAATAGAAAAGTCCTTTACCATTTTTTTCTATAACGCTTATTAATAAAGGAGTAATTATTGAGTAAAGTCTGGCCAATCAGCGCCGACTTTTAGCCGGACGCACGTCGGTGAGTTGCCCGCCTGGTAGTGTGCGCCGCCGTAGCGACGGAGCGCTCACGCACACTACCTACCCATAGACTTATAGAAATAGATTGCGCATCCCTGCAAAAGACTGTCTTAAACATTAGAAAGAGAGCGATAGCAGTCGGATCTCTTTCTCTTTCTAATCGGCTATGTGGTGGAGGAGAATTGTAGGAGAGCGAGACTGCGAGTATATACGCATTTCCTCGTCTCTCCGTTCATTCTCCGCCAGCCGCGATATCCCCTCTCCTTCAACTGTGCGAGAGAGAAACAGATCCGACCAGAATATCTCTGTCCTTCAATGTTAAGATCGCCAAACCGTAAGAGCGCGTAATCTATTTCTATAAGTCTATGACACTACCAGGCGCGCGGCTAAAGGTCGGCGCTGATTGGCCAGACTTTACTCAATAGTAACTCTTTTATTAAGCATCATATGAAAAAATGTTATAGGATTTTTCTGTTGAGTTTACTGTGCTCTACCTGCTCACGAGCGTTGTCAAGGGTGCTTTGGAACACCCTGTATATAATGTATTAATTATAGCTACCATTTGTTTTGCGAGCGTATAATTTTATAATTCTTGACAAGTTTCCACTATTTGTTAACTTCCATAATTTTATATGTTTGAAAAGAGAAATACTAAAGAGAGCATATTTTATATTATTTAACAATAGCACGCGCGCGCGTAATATAATAATATTGATAAAATTGTTCATATTGTTACTTGGAGTCATGTTTAGCTGCAAGCTCATGGTAAGAAAGCTGCCTAAAGATCTTATATCTCAACTTATTGCAAGCTCAATTATGGTGCCAATCAAAACTCTGTCCACAAAAAATAGTAATATTTAGATTTGAAGCTGCGGAAAAGTATACACCAAATCTTATTTAATAACTTACAATTTGCTCGTCAAAACATTTGTTGCTCCAAGTAATTAAATTATGAAAATTTAATTTGATAAAATTGAGAAATTATTCTCTCCTTCCGCATAGTTATATTGCTGGTTGTCGAACAACTTCTATATAGATACATATACAAATATATATATATATATATATATATATATATATATATATATATATATATATATATATATATATATATATATATATATATATATATATATATATATATATATATATATATATATATATATATATATATATATATATATATATATATATATATATATATATATATATATATATATATATATATATATATATATATAAAAATATATATTCATTTCTCGACACACACACACAACACACACACACACATATATATATATATATATATACCTATAAATTCCAAGTACGAGAAATTAATTTTACTATTTTTTCAATTGTTAGACATATTTTTCTGAGTGTGCCAATAAGAAATTCTATCAATAAAGGATCTTATCGAGATGTTACACAAATGCTTACATTACAACAGTTTTTCATCTGTTTTATTATTTTTATTACCAATATCTTGAGTATTTCATATTATCTTAATTATCAATTTTGGATTCTGATTGTTTACGATAAACAATAGAAGCAACTTTTTGCTCTATTCTCTTACAGCCGGCCATTGAATATAGTTTATACGGTTCGGGACCGAAAGTCAAGTATGACAATGCCTCCTCTATCATGTCCTCTTTTGGAGTGACGCCTCGCTCGGAAAAAGCCCTCGCCAGACACTTTTTAACGTGTATCTCTTCTAGAGGCAGGAAAGGCACATAGTGATCTATCACGCTGGTCTGTATAGTGTCACTACGATGAAAACCGCCTTTTTCACTGAACGCGCCATCAGCTATCAACTTCTCAAAGTCCTGCAACCGAGTATCGTCCCGTTTCCTGCCCTTCTCCCACAAACCCGTGAGATGCTGCACTATATTAGCACTGCCAGTATTCGAGAGAAATATGAAAATAGCCTTGTTCTGATACACGGACTCACTATGCTTGGAGGATTTGTGATACACGTTATAGTCGAGAAAGGGAACCAGTATGTTCAATAAGCCTTCCGGCATTTTGTCCACTTCGTCGAACACAAATAACGATCTCTCACATTGTTTTAGACCATTAGAAACAATTTTGTACAGATCTTCCTATAGAAAAAAGTTTGTTTTGTTAGCTCTTATTTTTAATATTATATTATTGTTATCATTGCATTATAATGAATTTTATATTTGAGTATACCTTGTATTCGTCTACTTTTTGTTGCAAAGGAAAATCGTTGCGGCCATTAAAAAAATGATAATATTGGCTCTCGATGCCCGTTTTATAAAACGCCATGGCAATCATTTGAGCTACATAGTTTTTGCCAGTTCCTGGCGTGCCATGGAAACTCATAACCAGTGCTTTGGGTGAATTTTTATTTGCCAAATGTCCCCGCAGTGCATTTATGATTGTATCTTGAGCAATTTGTTGCCCGTATAACTTAGCAGTTAACATATATTCCAGTCCTAATAATTTAAATAATTAAATTATTAATAATAACTTCTTGTTTCAAGTTTCTTGTCTGTATCCATAGAAAAGAAATAGAATAGAGATAGGATAGAGCTGTAATTACAAGTAATTTTAAAAAATGCTAGATTTTATAAACACAATACAGAAGATATTTCTGCTCGAAAAATATGAAAAGGAGTGCTTTAACCCTTTGTCTGCACACCTCCGTACCGAATCAATAACTGCATATGGGGTAGAATCTACCCCAGCTATCTTTGACTCGTCATAGTTTTTAAACTATCAGTTATTTCAAAAAAAGTTTAGACATTTTTTTTAGTACAACTATCGAACTTTAAGGTCCAATAATCAAATTTGCAAAAAAATAATATTTTGAACTAGAAAAGCGGGTCTGAAGGGAACGATGTGTGCCAAAATGCACACTTTTACAAAAAATTCCGTAAAATTTGCAATTTTAAATATTTAGGATATTTATTTATATTTATTCAAAAATTTGCGTTAGAAAAAGTCTGGGGTAGAATATACCCCGTGTGCAGACGAAAGATTAATCTCTCTGCACAAATTATAAAATTTATTCTTCCATCAAAAAGAAAAAAACATCACGCTACTGTACCACTATATTGATCAAATGAAAAGAAAAAATCAGAAAGATAATAAAAACAAAGGAGATTCTCTCTGATTTTTAATATATATAAATTAAAATATTAATATCTATAAATAAAAAGCAATAAAAAATTTTCTCGGCGCTTACATAGTTCGTACTTACTGTCTAAATCAGAAAGGACGTATTCATCTGTACAGCATTCCACGTACTTGCATTTGTACCATTCGTAACCATAATAACCTGCACCGCCTAATAATGAACCGATCGAGCCTATTACACCAAATGTAATGAGTTCGCTTCGTGCGGATATAACGATCGTGAGGGAAAGTAAAAACCCTAAAACGCAACCGGCGAAATCCATATTTAATTGTCAACTATCTCATTGTTCATATGATGGATCTTCGTTGACGTCCCATACATGTCTATGACAAGCGGCTAGTTTTTAATTACATTTACATAACTTTGGATTTATGATTTTGAAATGAATAGATCACACATATCTAATAAGTATATATTAGGACAAAAATCGAAATGTAAGTTTAAGATTTCAGACAAAAGTTTGACAGAAATTGATTCGTAATTGAAAATTTGGTTATATTTGAAAATTGTATTTCATAAAGAAATTTGTAATGTAATTTTTCTGACTTTCAATAAATAAAACAGTTCAGCTTTGATTTAAAATATTACAAAATATATACACAACACACTGCATATTCCACGGACTTAAGCCTATAGCCTATCACACACAAATTGACATAGCTGCATATGCATAGCATAAGACCGTCTGGACCAATGAGCATCGAAATAAAATCGCCATATTGATTTACATAGCATGCTCATTGGTCCAGATAGTCTTATGCTATGCATATGCAGCTATGCCAATTTGTGTGTGATAGGCTATAGGCTTTATGGGTGCGTTCCGTTTCACGCATTGAGCATATAGATCGCCTGGAAATCTATAATATATGTTACGTGAACTATAGATTTCCAGGCGATCTATGCGCTCAATGCGTGAAACGGAACCTTAGAACATATATAAATGGAAGGGGAATGCCCATAGACATAGTATATCTAGACCGAGTGTTGAGGAGTGGGAGCCGAGGTGCACGTAGAAAAGGACATACTATGTTTCGTGTCCCTTGCGTTCTCTCTTACTCGCATGTAGCATAGCGAAAGAGTACGCTATGCTATTGAACAATATGGATTAGAATGTAATGATTTTAGATTGGAAATAATCCGCGAAAGCGATATTAAAACCGATTATAGTTCGTTCGGAATTAAAATCGATTACTTTTTAATCCGGGCGCGGATTGAACCGATTAAAACCGATTAAAACGGATTATGTTTTAATCGGTTTTAATCGACCATTTTCCGCAGGGAGCGAAAAAGTACGCTATGCTACGTGCAAGCGAAAGAGAACGCAAGGGGCACGAAACAGAGTATGTCCTTTTCTACATTATTTCTTATGAATTTTCAAAGATTATATGTTTAGGTTGTGACCCTTAACAAATGAGTGAAGCAATTTATATAACTTGGGATTGTTGGAAAAGGCAATACTAGGTATGTCGATTGAAATAAGAGGGTCTGTTCTTTTGATAGATGAAATGAGTGCAGATGATTCGTCGGCAAGGGAGGGGCATTGAAAGAAGATGTGATTGAGGTTTTGGCAAGCATGACCACAGGAACATTCTGACGATGTTAGAATGTTTTTGTTCAGTAGATGTTTGCCGGTGGCAGTGTGATGTGATCTGATTCTGGAGATGAGAGTAATAACCGATCTAGGAAGTGAATCTTTGAAATTTTTATACCAGGGTGTGGAAAGGATAGAGTCCCCGTATTCAAGTTTGAGATTAAAGTATCTGGAACCTTTATATTGGCTCTGTCGCCTGAGAGTTTGCGTAGCTTTGTCTTTTGCAATTTTTTTGAATTTAGAATATGTATGTAATATTTATTGATTCCCCTTAGGGTTACAATTTCCAAATCGATCATTTTCGGCAGGGTCCTTAGCCAGAAGATCAGCCTGTTCATTGCCATATATACTCCTATGGCTAGGTATCCAAAAAAGTTTGACCAAGATATTACTAGTTTGGCAATTATACAAAGAGTGTCTGATTTTAAGTATCCAATGGTGGGTTTTTCCTGACCATGCAGAATTATTTAAACCAGAGTGAGTCCGTGAATATAGCTGAATTGTTGATTTTCCTTTCCATAATTATATCGAGGGTATGAGAAATAGCGAGCGTCTCCGCTTCAAAGATTGAGCAGTTGTCATTAATCCTGCGCTTAATTTTTAAATTTAAGTCCGGGGAATAAATACCGTATCCAACTTTGTTGTCCGTATCCAGCCTAGACCCATCCGTATAGAATTTAGTAGAAGAGGGAATGTCTGAGTTTATGAACTGCATAAACTTCTCTTGAATGTTCGGACAGCTATTCAATCCGTAACCCATATCCACATCGACTGGAGGATTGAACTGGTGGCTATGGTATTTAAATTCCAAGTATCCAGGAAGATTAAATGCTTCGATCTGATTGAAAAGGTGTTGATGTGTCTTGAATGTATTGGTTAACGACTCAAGATTGTAGTATTGATCATTAGCTGGATCTTGAGCGATTTGCTCTAAGGTGCAATGCAATGGATGAGTAGTCCGAGCCAGTCTAGAAGTAAAGTGCTTCATCTAGAGGGTGAAACACTTGGCAGTCCCAATCAAGCAGGGGTCTGATGAAACCTTTATATATGGTAATATGGTAAGTTGGATGGGCTTCCCATTTGATGCCTGAGATAGCTTTAAGAATGTTAATCCTGGGTATGGTCCTGTTCTTAAGTTTGTTGATATGAGCTCTCCATTTTAATTCCGAATCCAGGTAAATCCCCAGAAAACGAGGCGACCAGGAAATTGGAATGTTAGTGTTGTCTAAATTAAGGAAAAAATTGTTATTCCTTAGTAATATACGTAGAGTATAGTCCTGTTCTTAAGTTAAGGTTGTTGAGCTCTCCATTTTAATTCCGAGTCCAGGTAAATCCCCAGAAAACGAGGCGACCAGGAAATTGGAATGTTAGTGTTGTCTTGTCTAAGGAAAAAATTGTTATTCCTTAGTAATATACGTAGATTCCTCGGTTTCATAGAGGAGAAAATGGTATATGCTGATTTCTCAGGGGCGATCTTTAGACCAAGACGTCCGAAAAACACCTTCAGACTTTCCACGGCAACGCCAAGTTGACCCTTTATTGAATCCAGGTTGTCATCCATGTAATATATGGCAATATCATCCGCGTACATTAGTATTTTTAAATGCTCTGGAAGGCAAGAATGAGCCAATGCTACGTATATATTGAACAGAGTAGGACTGAGAATGGAACCCTGTGGCAATCCTCGGTCGGTACTTCTAGTCTGAAGAGGGATACCAGCTGCGTATCCTGTAAGGTTTCGGTTGGTGGTGGTTTTCCTGATAAAACTTATGATCTTCTGAGGAAGGCT